TCGCCGGATGAAAGGGGAGGAAAGTCGGTTCTGCTTACGCTTTCGAGTCAACTCGTACCTTGGGCAACTCGTACCTTGGACAACTCGTACCTTGGACATCTCGTACCTTGGACAACTCGTACCTTGGACGACTCGTACCTTCAATTAAGACGACTCGTACCATCAGAATAAAAAGTAGAGTACGTGCGTGACATGACTCCGAAACGATACGATTCTTTTCAAGTCAAAGTTAATTTTTATCCCACAGAACCACATTCAATATCTAATGGCTTTGCCAGGCAGCGTGATTTTCCGCGTTGGGCCTGCCGCAGGCATGGCAGGGCAACGAAATTGACTGCCGGGCCGGCCTCCGAGGGCGCGAGCAGCGGTCGGTCGTGCGCGGTACCGATGCCGGTGACTCGGAAGCGGCCGGCCTGCGCGGCGCGCGCGGCATTGCCATTCTGTTTTTAATGGAATTACATGTACTTGTACATTCCTTGTGCATTTTCAACGTTTGATTCGGTAGCTAAGATAACTTGTTAAATAAATTTTAATATACTTTCTTTTTTTTCTTTTTAGGTTCTGGATTTGGCAAGGACCAGATGACATCGACAGTTTATTCTTTTAGTTTATTCTTTTAGTGTATGAATTTAAATTGTTATCTAAATTTAAATCATTACATTTTCTTTCTTTTCTTTCTCATCTATAGAAGCGTCGCTCATCTATTGAATTTTACAGTGGAGAAACTTCAGATGCGGATTTGGTGTGGTTTAATTATGCAATACAGCCTAACCACCTTAACTTCCTGTTGCCAGAGCGAGCTTTATTAAACTCTATTAAAACCAACCGACAAAATATTAGAAAGCAAATTTAAACATTTAATTTGTTTAAATAAAGTAATTTCTGCGTTTTCTTGCTAAGTCTAATAACCAAAGTATACAAGAGCAGTCAGTACTTTTAAATGATTCAGTCCTTTCCTAGCTATAAGTCTGAAAGTCGAAAATGTAAAAAAAGAAATCACAGTTGGTTTATTCATCAACTAGTTTATTCGAAACATTTACAAATTGTGGGGGCGGGGGTTTGGCCAGATGTTTCGTCATAGTCCGACTTGTTGAAATGAAATCGATTCACGATGAACAGCAGACAAGCAATCGTCTCTTGAGCAGCGCAATGGTTCATCAGAAATCCGCAAGATCATCGGAAAAAAAAAATTGCGGTAAACATAGTTTTGGGATGAAAGTATATCGATTCCGTAATACAATTTTTTGCAATTTTTTAAGTAGGCCTAAGTCTCTTAATGCCGTTGAAAAACAGCAAACTGCAACAATGTCACCGTGCACGGACGGTCCGACTTCTTAAAATGAAATCAATTAATAATGGTGGACTAGCAGCAATTGTCTTTCGAGCAGCGCAGTGGTTCATCAGAAAACCGCAGTTTCATCTGTAAAAAAAAAATTGCGGTAAACACATAGTTTGGGATGAAAATTAGTATTTCCTAACAAAATTGGAAATATTTGCCAGTCCAAGATTCACGTCTTATCATTTTTGCGGTGATAATATATATGAAGAAAAAAGTAGTTCAGGCGATTATAGGGATCAATAATAGGAAAAATGTTGCAACCTGACGCCACTTTTTTTCTTCATATATATCATCTCAATGATGGTCATTCATCGCAAAAATGATGGTAAGACGTGAATCTTGGATAAAAACATCAGTTCCATAATATTTGCACGTAGCCTTAGTCTCTAAATGTAACGGCAGACTGCATCAAAAATGTCACCGTGCACAGACGTCCATATTAACCGTTCAGCGCGGCGCAAGAACCGTGTTACTTTGCACGGATGGCTACCGTAGGTTGACCGCAAACGACCGCGTGGGCCTGTGCATGCCGCGCACACAGTGCGTGTAACCTGCCGCGGCCGGCTTCGCGCTAAATAAATTCCTCTTTTGGGGGGAAAGAGAGCCCATACCAAAAAGAGATTCGCCTTTATTTTAATAAGCAGTCCACTTTCAATGAGTTACGGTCCACTTTATTCAGCCTCGGATCATTATCCTGACGGACGGTACGACTTGACTTACGCGTGATGGTACGAGTCGTCTTTAATAACTGAAGGTACGACTTGCCGAAGGTACGAGTTGTCCAAGGTACGACTCGGTATAATGACGTCGAGTTGAAGGTACGAGTTGTCCAAGGTACGAGTTGCCCAAGGTACGAGATGACCTGTTACCCTGCTGCCCAGTTCACGGGATGGCGGGAAAACCATTGTGCCTGGTCTCGTCTTGGTTGCTGCTGAGGTTGAAGTTGGACAGTTAAATGAGGTGTGGTTTCCTGAACTGCAAATTGTGCACGTTTTTGGCAGTGGGCACTCCGCGCTGCGGTGCCCTTGTCCCCTGCAGTTGAAGCATGTTAGTGTCCCGCAGTTGGCTGCCAGGTGGCCTGTTTTACCGCAACGTCGGCAGGGCAGGTCTTTTGCTGTCCGCCGTACTGGACGTACAGCTGAAAAGGCCCCACCTTGATGTAGGAAGGAATGGGCGAACGGAGGGTCATGCGAAAATGGCGGATGCCATTCTCCCATTCGGGCGTTGCCGGCCAATGTCCACGTCGGTGTCCTATCACCTGCCCATACTGCGCTAGGGTAGTGACGATGGGGCTGTCCGCCAACTCCTGTGGGGCGTTATGCACGTTGACGTACACCAACGCTGTGTCAGCCTCTGAAGTTGTTACTGGTTTTTCGTTGATTTTCAGGTGTTCTGTAGTCATCTTTGTCTTGGCTGCCGTCTTTTGAAAGTGACGCACCACTTAGCATCAGTCACGTGTTGCACGCATTTTACTTCATTCTCTGGAACATGCTTCTTTATCAATGCGAAAATTTCTTTCGGCTGCGTCTTTTCTTCAAGATGAAGGTTGAGGCTCAGCTCCCGGTTGAGCCTCGAGAAAGCCATCCTTGGCTTTGGCGTACTCAGTTGTGAAATTTAGAAATCTTTAGTAAAAGGCGAAAGATTTGTACGAAAATGCAGGTGAGCAGGAGTTTCTGATCTAAAAGCACCAGGAAGGTAACCCGATTTAAATCAAGATCAGTCATGATGTCATTTTTCACTTTGATGAGTGCAGTTTCTGTGCTGTGGTGTGTCCTGTATGCTGATTGGTGAGGGTCCATCAGTTTGTTGGTGGACATGTGGGCTATCAGTCTTGAACAAACCGCTTTCTCGATGATCTTTCCAAGAAATGACAGGTTGGATACTGGCCTGTAGTTACTGAGGATGTTTTTGTCCAAGGTTGGCTTTTTCAAGAGGGGTTTGATAATGGCGTAGCGAGCTCCTGTTGGGAATACGCCATCGGTCAGAGATGCATTTACTATTGAGGTCAGAACTGGGAGGATGGGTGCGATGTTTTCCTTCAAGAGCCAGGTTGGAAGTGGATCGAGGCCACAGGATTTATTAGGAGAACCACGGATGATGCGTAGAACTTCATCTTCCGGGGCTGGACTAAAGACAGACAATGGCTCGAAATGGATTAGTTGTGAATCGGCAAAACAACTCATCCTATCTTCTGCTGAATCTAAATTTTGACGAATTCTGGTGATTTTGTTCGAAAAGTAAAGACAAAACTGATTGCTCAGTGTTTCAGTACAATCCTGAACAGGAAGAGATGCTAAATTTCTGTGTAGAAGGGAGTTCAGTGTTCTGTAGAGCTCCTTTGTATTGCAGGAAGAGAGTTTCTCCCTGCAGTACTTGATCTTGGCTTGACATATCAGGTTTGATGTTTTGCGTCTGTCTTGAAGGAATTTCTCTCGGTCATCAGAAGATCGCGTTTTAAGCCACTTGCGTTCAGCCCTACGTCTCACACGCCGAGCAACATGGATGTCATCGTTGTACCATGGCATTCTGGTTCTGAGGGTACGTGATTTGACTGCAGAGGGAGCTACAGAATCCAGAAGCTGACTGAGTTCCTTGTGATACCACTTAAATGAAGCGTCTGCATCGCCCTGATGATCGAATGAGTCCATGATGTGAGTTAATGAATCCGAGAAACTCTGTTTGTCAATGTTCCTGTAGTTCCTTTTTGAAGTTGTAGTCTGTTGCGCTTTCGGTTTTGCAATGTTCACATTGATGTAGACAACATGATGATCCGACATAAGGGCCTCATGCACGTAGCAATTGCGAATAAGAGCCTCATCAGAACACCTGGTGAATACCAAGTCGAGGGTGTGGCCCATTGTATGAGTTGGTCCTGTTACATGTTGCTGGAGGTTGGCCGAGGAGACAATCTGTAAGAAGGTGACAACATCTGGTCTGGCTGGCAAATCAACATGAATGTTGAAATCTCCAGCCATCAGCAGTCTACCAGGTAGAAATGCCACTTCCGTTAGGAAGTCATCAAATTCGTCGATGAAACCAGAAAAGGTAAAGCCATTTGCTGGAGATGGGGGTGGGCGATAGATGACGATGAAGTTAAGTGTTGACGCCATATTGGTAATGTGAACGGATTCAAATGACGCATAGTCCATTAGACTGTCTTTTAATGACAACTTGAGGGCTGATTTAAAGATAACTGCAATACCTCCCCGCGGCCAGTTTTGCGTGGTGCACTGAGGAAAGTGTAAACGTATCGTGTTTATTTCTAGTTTGGCCCAACCTCGGTCCCCAGGGTGTCGAGCAGTACGCGCCCACCACTACCTGCTCTCTTACCCTGGTATTGGATAATTTGCATGTGCACGATTTTTGAACACGTACGTATGCAAATGAGGAATAGTCTGGCGCCTGCCTGTGCATTACATTTGCGTTGTTTTTGTATCCGGTGTCTGGGGTAAAAACAGAATCAATTCGTCGCAGCGTGAGCTACGACAACACGATTTTATTTTAATTAAACTGTAACGATCTTAACGAGACAACATGCAGTATCACATTTCATACTAATGATAACAAATTGGAAAGGAAATGAATATTTTCAAGAAGGCGTGAACGAATGATCGCGAAAACACGTACTGCACGTTGTGAACAACAACACCAAGTACACGATATGAATCCAGTTCTAGCCAATTGCGGTATAGAATCAGGATATAGGAAGAAAGTTTCCTATCCAGGGCTTACTGTTGGAAATAAAGTAACACTGGGACGAAGTTGAGTTTGGCCGTCCGTTGTAAATTCGATTGGGGTGCCTCAATGACACTAGAGGGCGCTCTTAAAAAAACAAATTTCCCCCTCAAATCCCACACAAGCGTCTGTTGAAAACATTACGTCATACAGATACTGCAATATAGGGTCCGAATTGCAAGTTGAGGCCACGTATATGGTCCTCAATGACTGACCTCGAGTGGGGTAGTGGCGGGCGTACGCCCCGATGCCCCTACTACTAATTCACTAATGTCAGATATCGAACATTGCTTTTTGGTTTTGTAAAACCTTACAATCGCTCCCATTTTGCTCGTGCAGAACTAGCCGGGGCTTGGTGTAGTGACCGTCCTTCTGTCAGCCCATGGATACAGGTTGACTTCAATGCCACCGTCACTATCACTGGCGTGATCACCCAGGGACGTGCTGAAACGGAGAAACGACACTATGTGACGAAGTACCAAGTGGCTTACAGCGATGGACAGTCCTGGAATAACTTGACTGATGCCAACGGAACAGCTATAACGGTAAGCAGGGGCGAGTAGTTTGACCACCTTTTCGTTGATTTTTATTTGGTGAATGCGAGGCTTCACTTTGCCCGCTCGGGGCTCGAGGCGGTTTTGCCGCTTGTCGTCCGGTTCACGGGCAAACCCGATTTTCATGAGTGCACCTACTTGCTTACACAATTCACATACACACACACACACACACGGGCACGTTTTTTTATGGTGTAAATCGAGGATTTTCTTTTGTTCCTCTTCCCTCTTCCTTTGTTTGTACTGTAACTTTTTCGCAACAGCTCTCATTGGTTTTGTACACGTTTTCTAATCGAGGCCGTCCTCGATTTGGTTCCTGTCCTCGATTCAACGAATGATGTTGCACATGTGTGTCTACTCTCGAGGACAATGCTTTGTGTTTCCCTTTGTCCATGTAATACACTCTCGTATAGACTAAGCACATAAACTTACTACCGACTACAGATAGAGGACCGTTTCCAGCAAAAGACCCAACTCCCAAGGATTGAAAGGATCTGTTGTTCTCCCTTTGTGTGTCGGTCCTCGGGGGTTGTGTAGAACACGTATATGTCGTTGGGAAGACCATAGAGCATGGGAAGACCTTTATTTCTCTTCTTTGTTCTCCTTTGTTCCTATTGAAATCTCGTACTCCATAGCGTTTCCATTACGGGGTAGTCTTGATTTCTAAAGCCTTCTTATGGGGTCTCTTGTTCCACTTTGTTTTCTACCACACGAGGAACCCTGTACATTGTACACACCTACACAACCTTATTATACATACCTAGTGTGGACATCCTTTGTCTTCGTGTAGCTAAGAAAACCGGACAAAAACAATCGTATTTTACTCGCACTGTGAATACTGTATTTTTTGGTCATGATTACCTTGAGTGATCCTCTTCATTTTGTGACGGATACTTAACCCCAAAATGCCTCTAAACCTGTTTTCCAGGTTTGTGTGGACCTTGCTTAGTCCACAGAAGATTCACACAACCTGCTTCGCGTGGAGCTGTTTTGTATTCAGGTCCACAGAGAGATGGTTAGCACACTCGTGCAAGTTTGACTGTTTTCTACATGCATATTGTAACAATCTGTTTTAATACAGCGTATGGCCTACAGAGGTGATTTTCGGCAACTAATGCAAATCCATGGAACTCTCCCTCCTATCTTTTTTTCTTTTTGATAGTTCACCGGTAACGAGAGACAGCACAGTCACGTGACCGCTCATTTCCCGATGGCCTTGCGTACCAGAATCCTGCGTATTCTGGCCATCGAATGGTACACCAACTGCTGCATGAGGTTTGAACTGTTGGGTTGCTATTAATAGTACCGGTACGGATTTTTTTTTTTTAGCAATAGAGGGCGCTGTTACGTCATTTGCGACTAACGCTCCTACAAAACCTGGACATAGATGACCACTATTGTTTTTTTAAGGTCTAGGCATTTTTCAAATTATTGAGGTATTCAGCTTCAAAACTGATCTGCTTGATGGGTTGTATTCATATTTTGGGAGGTGTACATTACAGTTCCTGATTCAGAAAAGGGATTGGATTATTTACAGTAGATTTGCACATAACTTATGATATACATCAAGCCTCCAAAAGCTGAGTCCCCAGTCGTTTTATTAATTCATTCTACCTTTATTTATTAGCTAAACATGTAAATACATGTAGAATTGGGACAATCTTAGCATATTGGATACTATTCTCGATATTACATGTTAGATTGAAAGCCTCTATTCCTTACTATAGCTTCAATGATCTTTGTATTACTAGGCTATATTTTACATAATTATACACATGCCGTTTGAGAAATGTACATAGAATTCAAGTGCAATGGATTATGGGGTTATTTTGGTCCACCAAAAAAAAAAATGAAAGTTTGGAGGCCAAACATTTTGTTGTTAAAAAAATAAGAAACTGAACAATAACTAGTACCTAGTGTGTACACTGGTACTTTAATTCAAGAATCCATTTTCTATAGGGTAGAATTTAAGTAATAAAGATATCGAAATAAAATGAAAAAGGACAGTAATCGTTTACTATTCTTGTGCACAAAGTCAATGGGGAAATCAAAGATGGCGGAGCCCGGAAACAAGGAAGTTGATGCGATCATTATGCTCCGCGAGCATCGTTAACTGCTTGGTGCTTTCTTGGCATGCATGAAGTCCATGGGATTGCATCGTCCCTTCCCCTCAAAACCCTCTGGAAAACTTAATTTTGGTCCTCGTTTTGGGACTGTTCTTATGGCGTGTCAATTGTGGCGCCAAACAGTCTGAAATCGTCTTTGTTTTTTTTATAATGTTATCAAGTCCATGAAAATCATGAAACTTAAGATGCTACGCTCCAAGATATGTTGCTCTCGTGAGACGTTCCTGTTAAAGATACCAGGCCCCCTACCCTGAACTGAACCACCAAAGTGGAACTTTTCATCTCAATGAACAGAACATCGCTTGTGCGAGTTGAATGCGTATATCCTACCGAAGGCTGTTAGTGCGTACAAAGGGTGTTGTACCATGAGTTTTGTGCCGGTACATCGGGAATTCACGCGCACGCTTTACCTTAAACAAAAGGGTTAAAATGCAGAAAACGGAACTCATTGATCTATCGAGTGAGTAAACTTATTGGACAATTTGAACAAATCGAGGGATGGCTATAATAAAATATTCACCGCAGATTTTGTTTTGTTTTACGACTTGGGCCACTTGATGGGAACATCGCCGGGAATGACGCAGCAGGCGTGGCCGAAGCTTGCCGAGGGGAGTGCCGCAAGGCCCTGGGCCCAGGACACGGTCAGTGGGTCGAAGCATTCCACGTTTGGAAGAGGGTCTTCGTTCTCGTCCTCCATGCCTCCGATGATGTAGGCCTTGTCACCTGAAAGGCATAAAGTAGTAATTATTCGCTCGGGGATCGAACCGAGTTAAAATTGAGACATGCACGTCCTTAGGAGTGTTTTAGGGCAATGATGATTGTCGTAGACGGATGTTTGAGTCTATATCGAACCCTGAGCTAATTATTTTCCTGCGGCCAAGTATGGGTCGTTTTCCAATTCTCGGCTTCGTCTCCGTCTCTGGCCGACATGCTGTTTGGCAATGAAGCTGGAGCCGAAACGGAGCCGGAACCGGGGTTTGGAAAAATGCCATATGAACATAACGCGCATACGTCAGTGGTCAACGGATTGGTCTCTCGGACTTTACATCTCTTAAATATCCTCTTAAATATCTCTCTTTAATATCCCCAAAAAGATGACATCAACCTTAAATGAAAAGTATTATGAGACTAAACACAAAGAAAGAAAGAAAAGGAAGCATATTTTGGGAACGGAAAAGGTCCTAGCTTTGGGGCTGGAACGTGTTGTCCCACGTCGAAAAAACAAGCGCTTTCAGCACTTGGTCACCAAATCGTTTCTTTCTCATGACAAATTCAAAACCTTTACAAAAACATAACTAAAAAAACTCTGATATGTTACCGTCACCTTTTGATATTTCTCACGCATTTCCATTACGGTAAATGACAAAAGAGGACGTGTATAGATGGTGTCACTGGACCAATGCGCAAACTAAGTGCGTGCCTGCTTAGATTCCGAATCTATAATTGACTGTATACGTGGCTGTAAGACCTCTTTTCATGTTTGCAAGGATATAATGATATAAACAACATGACACAACGGCCCACATCACGAATTGGTTGCTCGTCGTTTTCGTTAAGACGCTTGGTGGCAGCAGACACACTTGAGCATGTGCACATTCATAGCTAAAGGGTACAACCAAGTAAATAGGCCAAAAACCCCGTCTGCTGAACTCATTAATAAAAGTTATACACTCGAATTCTTCTTTATTAGAGAGTTCTGACTGCATTGGGGAATTGAAGACATACATCTGGCCTGGCTTATAGGCTTCCAATTCTGAGAATTTTGGATGCAATTCGCTCTTTTCACACTCCCGTCCGCCATTGGGCATGCAGAGCCTTGATCTGGCAACTGTACGCAATAATAAAAGCCGGTTCAGTGATCGGAACCCCGACACGGGAATCACTGAACTGGCTATTGTCATTGTGTAAAGTTGCCAGATCGACGCTCTGCATGCCCTTGGCGGAAGTGTGAAAAGAGCGAATTGGGTCCGAAAGTGGCGCTACTTAGCCATGTTGTGGATGGATCCTTTTTCAAAATGGCTACTTTTCCAGTTTGGAAAGCATCCTTTTAGGGTTGCATGGTCTTCTTTAGGTGAGCATTTCTCCAAAAGGTCATCGGTCAACCCACCGAAAATTGAAAAGAAAATGAAAGATGACATGTTAATCATCATTTTTCTGTGCAGCCTGAATACCTGTCAAATCTTGATGTGAACATGCGCAGCTGGGTTAATACCAAACTGGCTTTAAAGACCTTTCTTTTGATTGTAAACATTGGCGCCATGGGCAGCCACAAGCGCATAAATCGAAGCTGTGGTTGGCTGTTATTTTTCCAGAAAAATGTCCCCATAACGCCTTCAATACATAGTAAAAATGCATGCATGTTTAGGAATAACTGTATGTTGTATGTTTGCTGACAACGTTGTTTTTCCAAGTATCAAATAATATTTTGGTTATCTGTGATACATGTAACTCGTTTTCCTTTTTGCAGTGTTGAACCTTCCATAGTTTTGGAACCCGTGATTGGTAAAATGTGCAGTTTACCAACCAAGCGTAGAACGGTCTATTGAAAAGAACCGGTGTGCTTGCTGCCACCAGTAAAAAAATATCCTATTGCACAATGTGCTAAAAAACTGTTCGTGCGCCCTCACTCTGTAAAATATTATAAGAATTTTACATCAACCTGACGCAAAGCCTTATGACTGATTTGTTTGCGGTATAGCCTATTACATTAGATTCAAAACAACCAGATGGTGGTCAAGTGGTAAGACGTCTGCACCAGCAAACATGAAGTCGTGGGTTCGAGTCCCACCCGAGTGATATTTTTTCTAAGTGTAAAGTAAAGCCCAATAGTGATCATCCGACGTAAATTCCATCTCATGAATAGAAGAATTTCCAGCTAAGCCAGAGATTTACCAACAGTGACCGTGTTTGCATCATGGCGGCCCTGCCAGAGATCGGCCACGAACTCCCAGGCCTCGTTGCTTTCGTCGTACGCTTCTATCGTCGACATTGATTGGCTCTTTTCGTCCGAAGCGCTCGAGTCCCCAACGAATCCGCCAATCATGTACAGCTTATTTGCCATCTCTAAGAGGCTCGCGTGGCAGCGTGGAACCCGTAGATGTGCCATGGCATTCCATCTTTTTTTCGAAATGCAAAAGTAGAAATGAGTCGTTCACAAATCTCACTCAATATGTTCTCATTTTGAAAAATATAAACAATGAAATTATAAAAGTACAAACTTAGTTTATTATGTCAAATCTGATAATATAATTCTGAACTGTGCAACACAATAATAATGGTGTCTTTCCCATAAGCAGTGCAATTCTGTTCAAGGTCAATTTTCCACAAACTTATGACCTTTGACATGTATCCACATGGACTGTTTGGAGTTGAATAGTGTTGGCGGGTACAAAAGTCTTTGCCTACATACTCCAACAGCGCCTTCCATACTTTGGGGTCCAATTTTGTTCGTCTGATGTAAGATTTTGTGAATTCAGGAAACATTCTTTCAATAAACATGATATTTCAACTCACTCATTGCGGAAGGGATTGTAGCAGATGACGTCTGCGGGCACGGTCGACGTTTCGGCCATTTGTTCCTCTGGGTAACCGCCGGCTACCCAAAGTCGACCGCGGTAGACCGTGACCGCCACGCCGTAGCGTGCAGACGGCAGCGGGGCCACGTAGTGCCATCGGTCAGCGTTTGGAGAGTAGCACTCGACGGTAGCCAGGGTCCTAAAGAACATGTTTGTGGTTAAATTAACCAAAAATATGAACAATATTTGTTTGCATCGCAAGACCAATTTCAAGGAGGGTGGGTGTGGGGGGGGGGGGGGGGGCATGAAATTGCGGACAGCTAACAAAGTTTCCCTGAAATCTACCGACCGCTGGAAATTCGAGGAGCGGAATCTGAGACTTGGTGGCGCTGTTCCGGTGGCATCGTTTGCCAACAGTTTAGGTTGGTAACACACATCTCTACGGAAAGTGGTTTTCGGCTACACTGTACTGTATTGTACATCACCCCTAAAACCGGAAGATCACGACGAGGACACAACGGACAATTCCAACTTCACCGGGCCAGGACCGACATATATGCTTCCTCATTTTTCCCAAGTGGCGTGTACTAACCCTGACTCCTTGAGGGATGCCGTTTATATATTTGACGAAACCCAATTTCGACCACTCTCACCACACCTCCAGTTTAAATCCCTGGCGGAATATTTTGGAGGACACCAACCAAGTACCAAGTAAGTGAGTAAGCAAGTAAGTACTTATAGGCGCATTGTGTAATACTAGTAACCCGTAGCAAAGTTATTCATATACGCAACTAAGGCTACACCTATGTTGCTATCAAGAACGAGTCGATTTTGCAGTGAAAGATTTTAAGGCTGTGTTTTTTTTATACCGTCCTTCTTGGTCTTGTCCACCGACCACGTAGAGCTGTCCAAACAGCGCCGTGACCTCGTGAAATATCCGGGCAGCGTTCATGGGATGTGCTTCGCTCCACTTGCCAGCTCGGACGTCGTACTTCAACACCGAACTCACGGGTTTCAGAAAATCTTCGCCTTCGGTGTGTGGGTCGGATCCACCTATTGGATGAATACCATATAAAGGTAGCGTGTATGAACGCTTGAAACTTAAAAGTTTGTGTTGATGCTTTGTTCAATACAATGGAGTTTGTATCAACTTACCAACGACGTACAGGAAACCGTTGAGACAATGTACCACGTGGTGATTTCGCGCAGACGGCATTCTTTCCAGTTCGCGCCATTCGTTCTTGTCCAGTAGGAACGCTTGCACCATCCGCCCTGCAGTCTCCGATTCGCCGTCCTTAGCCACCCCGCCGACGGTGACGATGACGTCAGATTTCTGCCTCCTTGCCAAGAGTGTCGTAACGGGCCACGCAATTGGTCCGCCGGTGAGCGCTTTTGGGTTGGACGCTGTGATTCGGTAGTCGCTGGCGAGACGCGGTGCGTGAAAACGGGCAGAAAAGTTGCCAGGGGATGTGAGTGTTTTCACGGTGCTTGGTGCCACAGAAGATTCACCGTTTACATTGTACTGAAAGGAAAAATAAAACGCCGTTTTTTCATTTGATTTCAATTTTACAATAACTATTTAGCGAGTATAAAAAAGGAGAAGACAAAACATTCAATTCAATGTTTATGATAGCACACTATACTCTTTCTGTTTTGACACACCATTGGCCAGGGGGCGGGGCTTGTGGATGCAGCTCGCAGTGGACTATTTTCACTCACTCCGCTGATTGGTCGAAGCGATTGACGGGGCGTCACCTGCTGAGAAGTAGTCGATGATGATTGGATGATGGTTGCTTCCTTTGACTTGTCTGCTTCACTGTAAAGTGGCTGTTGGAAACAATTTACATACCAAATAGATATTTGACATTTATAAGACGCCTAATGCAATAACATTGCTTTGCCTTGACAAGCTGATTTATTTATCTTTTCAGGCTTGCCTTTCTTTCAGCCGCAGAAAGTGGGATTCGAATTCGAATGTTAATTGCGTTTTCAGAGTTGCTACAAAGAGATAAATGATAAATATTTTTCAATGATACAATTCACATAGACAATTTGAAATGATTTCTGCAGCGGTTCACCCCTTCAAAATAAAACAGCGTGAAAAAAATTCCCCGAATTGTTGTCCATTTGAAAATCTTCTTGCAAGTGTATTCCCGAATAATACGACGGAGAGCTCAAGGAAATCAATCTGACCTTTGCCCAAGCGGAAGAAGTTTTGGATGCTTTCGGTTGTTGTGGGCTAGACTGTATGGTGTTTCTTTCGCTGATTGGCTGGGAAGAATCCAGAGGCGTTAACGTTGGCTGGTTAGACAAAGGCGTTGATTGGTCGATAATTCTCGCGTCTTTTATCCTTTGCTCTATGTCACTGGTCTGAAGTTGGATAAAGATAGAATTTTTTTTTTTATATGCATTAAACATTTTAAATTTACATTTTTTGAAACCCAAGACCTCCAGTTAAGGTAAATAAAATAAAACTTTAAAAGGATGACGAAAATACTCACTAATGGCCAAACGGGGGTTTCCGAAGAAGTAATATGCAAATATCTATTGGACTCTGTGACGTGTCGATCATTAATTCGCAGACGGGATACATTTGACGACGAAGGTAGAGACGAGGTTGTTGATTGGTCAATGATTTTGGCCTCCTTCAGGTCCTCAACAGTCATGTTTTGAAGTGGCTGAAAAAGGATTAAAAGTTTTAATTTGATTACTCCAAATGTCGACACACACATCTAATTCACTTGCCAACGTTTTACTACACTAGGCGTCACAACCAATAGAAACAAAAGTGAAATAATTGTGTTGAAAATGAAAGAATGTTCACATCTTTTTGACACATACTTAATATTAGGTACACATATCTTGACAGACGATGGCTTTTGTTTTTAGCTTACCATTTGCAACCTTTCGCAGGACAGATGAGCAGATTCCGATGACACTTGATCTTTTTTGGTTGGTGTTTTCCCCAACATCGACCCAGTAAGGGATGCATTAGTACCGGTACTCGCAATGGATGACCGCTGTATGTGAACTGCAATGACCCTTGACCTCACTTCCGGTATCTGCATCAACGCTTCATCCGTCTCAATATGTTTTGCGAGTTCATCCAAACTGACCTGTTGAAATCGGACCTGCCTCATGACGAGTGGCGCGCCCCTCAGTCCCGCCTCGCCGTTTGCGTGAATCCAGGTTTTGGCGGCGCCGAGGACCTCCAATTCGCTGGAAACACTCACATTGTCGTCTGCTAGGAGATCAGCGATCACTTCGACCGGGCACTGCAGATACTCCTTCGTTCGGCTAACGGCCAAGAAGTTTCCCAGGACAAACCTGCGAATCCTGGTGGCGAGCGACGTTAAATTGGCCCGACTGGCGACCAACATGGCGCCCAGGCAGTTCTCAATGGTGTAGTTTTGAAGGAATTCTTGTCCCAACTCAACAATCCGAGTCACTTTAAGTGCGCTCGCCACTTGCAAAATCTCGCAAACAGTTACCCACGTGAGCTCAAGCTCCGCCGTGTACATGTAGCGGAGTATGCGCCGAAAACCAGAGGCGGAAACCAGACTTCCCAGCACAATTCTGTTCGGAGTGATAACAGCAGCACCTGACTGCTTTCTAAGCAGCAACCGCAGGAAATAGTCACTGTGTGTGGCCAACACAACTCCGTGGGCGGGAAACTCGTCGCCCCCAACGACGACAATGACGTCACACAGTTTCTTATTGGCCCAAAGGACGTACAGCGTGTTCATACCATTGAGGGCGTGGTTTATCAAGGGGGAGTCTGTGGTCGTTTCCGAGTTGCGGCGCTCCCGGTGCCGCTTTTTCTGCGCGGTTTTGTTTTTCCTATCTAAAATGTCAATGAAACAAATTGGTTAGAAGGGACCGAAGCAATTTCACTACCTGAAACAGATTTTACTGAACTTTTAGGGTCGGCCTACTTTAAATAATTAGATTTCCTCCCATGATCAACAATGTCATGTCGCTATAAAATAATTAATTAACTTAGTAGATTTTCCAGTTAAACCTTTTGACTAGAAATTAAACAAAAAATCTACCCATTTCGATGTAGATAACAGTTGAACCTAGGCTAGCTGAACCGTAATGCCCAGATAAGTTTGAAGATTTTTCGGGAAGTGAAATCTGAATAGGCCTTATTTATAGCCCTATATTTTTTTTATAAGAGTGCTTAGCCATAGGCTAGCTTCAGCGGGTTTGACGACGTATAGTCGTGTTCCCTACGTGGCGCACTTCGAAGCTTACCCAACTTTTCTCGTGTAGTGTTGCCAAACCTCTTTGTTGATAAACCTCAAATTCATGCAGTGAAATACTGGTACTTTTACCTTTTTAGTGCTTGCTATTTAACCTCTGTGAACAATTTCGGCTTCACAAAATTTAATCCGAAATGCTAAAACGGTCGCGTCCGGAAATTGGGCACAAATTGGCGGAGCGTTCCCTAACGTGGGGCACTTGAATAAATCTCGGAAAACTCCAAATTAACATTTAAGAATTTCTGTAAACTTGATAAATTCTGATAACTCATTATTATCTTTACTTACAAACCCAGCCAGATTTTTGTCAGAAAATTATTTTCTTATTTTTCGAGGCATTTTCAAAGGGTTCACTTTGAACTTGAAAATAAAATCGGAAAATCACTCCAAAATAATTTTTTCTTTGAACTTTCTAACGGGTAAATAAACTCGCGATTTATGAACGGGAGTGTTTAGAACTTGATTAAATTTCACTTTCTGTGAAATTTCAGTTAAAACTTTTGCTCTAACTAGGTGCTACAGGCGAAAAATCAAAGTGCGCCACGTTAGGGCTGCGCCACGTTAGGGTACATCAACAATATTCATTGCACCTCCGTTCGTAGGGAAGTAAAGGCGCTGGAACCTGGGCCAAGCCATAGGCCTACCTCTTTAAATTCCAAAGAGTGAAAATTCACTCCATTCGAGTGAAGATTCACTCCCACAGTCGGAAACTAGGGACTAGACCTTTTTGAGTGAAATTATTGTCTTCAATCGTAAAGATCGAGTTTTCACTCGAGCTTTGACTGAAGTGGTTCCTTTTTTTTCAGACTATTTCAATCCATTGCGAACTCTAAATTTTCATTAACAAATAAATACTTATATGAATTTCAATGAGCTTATCACCTTCCGAACCACGCAAATCTTCGCCAATCGACGGCGATTTACTCCCCCGTGTTTCTTTGGCGATTCCGCGCCGTCTGGCCGGTAGTTTCTCTGCATGATCGGCAGTGACTGTTGGCTGTGTTTGCTCCGTCGCCGAGTAGTAATTCTCACTACCGTCACTTTCTGCGCCGTCCATGGCTTGGAGACAGTTTGACTTCTTATAATATCTCTATGCCATTCTGTAGATCTTGGCTAACACTAACAGTCTGCCTTTCATTCAGAAGAATGCTACGTCGTGCCTCCTATTTCAACCGTACCTTTTGCAGCTCGCAGATATGTCTGAGCATTATTTTCATTTTTATCACATGAAAAATCTTACAATGTATATTCGTCACGTTGGTTTGTTTCTGCGTAGTGTGCGTCGTTTCCATGCGTACTGCGCTATCCGGTTCGTTAGTAAAAACGTCATACACGCGCGCGCACCACTGATTACTAGCGCCCATTGGATAAACGCTCGAGTTGCGTTAGCTTCCGGTTCCAATAAAGAACGCGGCGCGCTCGTTGTGCGCGATTACAACACGCATGCGCAGACATGAACAAATTGGGTATTTATGGAAACGCCTGTGTGGTGCATTACCTGTCAAATCACTAGCACAATAATTATGCTAAAAACTCATGGGTAAACTTGGCCCCGATATGACTGAGTCTATATCTGCACAGTCCTTTTCAGGGGAAAAAAATGACGCTTTTCTCGGCCAAAATGATCCAGAAAAATGTCATGTTTGACCCGGAAAAGTTTCATTTTGACCAGAAAAGGGTAATTTTGGACCCCAAAAAGGACTGTGCAGGTATAGACTCAAATTCTGGGTCAATTATTCTGACCCAGTGCATTATGCAAACGTGTAGGAAACATTCATATTGGTGCTGTGTGTATTAATATGTGACACACACACACAACGTGTACAGTTCATTGAATAGAAACGGCTTGAAATACGAATGCTTATGCCAAAAATGTCCACCGCGTCCGATGAAACAACCGGGTTTTGTCGTCTTTTGTCGGGAACGGTAAGACGGTTAGTTTCCTTTCAACAGAACGTTGAAATACGATAAGTAGACAATCCAAAAACATGAACTTTTCGTGGATTTTCAGGTCGTAATGCCCCTCTAAGTTCTACTGTTCACACTGCTGGCTCATAAATATATTGCAGCATTATATTTCGCAGTCGACATTTGTCTTGTTGGGAAGTGAAGCGAATACTGATATGTGGCATGAGGATTTGTCTTCTAAACACTAGATGAGATCCTATTCCGTGTTTTAAAACAACTTAAATGTGTCCTGGATGAAAACATAACCGTAGCTGTAAGTATCGAATTCAGTTAATTGGTTATGATTAAGTAATATGCTAGACACCTGTAGATATATTATTAGCTACGGTATGAAGAAAAAGTTCGTGTGTTTTCGATCTCCTCCTGCAGATCGTATCGGCTGTAAAGGCCTATACCTTTGTCGATGCTTACTGCTTACTGCTTGTCCCGAAACCCGCCGGAGTCTACGAGCGCTGTATGGATGAGCGTTGAATCAACTGGTTCCACCTCTGTCTGCCCCGACTCCTCTTCCCTTGCACTGTTCCTTGGGCTGCTACATGAAATTTAGAGGTCTGCGGCTGTGTCGTGGTAACGAAAAACTATAGCAGCCATCTTGCTGATATGTTATCCGACAATACTCATCTTCCTGAACAATGATGTATCTCGGAGGCTCTCAGAAAATATGTTAGTATATTAATAATCATCTACATAAGATTTATATTAAGCCAGGTTCGCGTATTACACTCCAGACTACACGCGCAGGCACAACGCACGGGTTTTCCTGGATGACAGTTGATACAGTTTTGGCTACCATATGGAACGCCAAATATAGCAAAGACGAAGTCAATATACTTTTATGGCGATGTGAATCATTGACTGTGTATATGGTCGGTCTACAGTTCTGGAGACAATTTTACACGTATTTGTATTGGACCACAACGCCACTAGTTGGGCAAAGATGTGAAATTTGAAACTGGTTTCTTCGAGTGATCCGTAGTTCAACGCAATTTTGTGCTAGACAAATTTGTCAGTGGCTTAACCTTTCTCTGCCGGCCGGCATCTTTGGAAATATAGTCTTGGTGTTTTTGATTCTGCCAAAAAGTGACACAAGGCCGTCAAAATGGCTAAGGCTGGTGCTCGCCAGGGCTGGTGCGCAGTCCTTTGTCTGCACATGACGTGGTTGTTCAGCACGGGTCTCATCAAGGGTTTAGGGGTGATGTTGCCGTCCCTCGTCGAGCAGTTCTCGGCCCCGACGTGGGTTATTGGCTGGATGGTGACCATCGTCAGTGGTGTTGTCTGCTTCACAGGTATATACTCTTTGTTTCACTAAGTCTCTTCTATTTTCAGATTCCTCGCTCGAAGCGCATTCGTGTTGGCCTAGTTATGATATCAAAATGTCTCCGTGCATAATTTGAGCGTGCCCCTTGTCACATTTTGTGTGTTAACCTTGACATCAATCTTAATAGTTGTACATTTCCCTGAAATAGGAAAAGAGCCAATATACAAAACAAAACATTTTTATCGGTAACTCGCGTTAACAAAAAAAAGGACATGGCAAAACTTTAAGTACCTTGCATTTGAATATTTCCTCATACTGCGCACTGTTGAAAGAATCTTTTCAGTGCCCTTACATCGTTAGGGTATAACCCGGATTATGCTACCATAACAATTATTTAAAAAATAATCAATCATGAAATCTCCAGAGGGATTTTTTTCGGTGATTCATGTTACAGTACCTCGCGTTACAAATTGTCCGCTTCTCTCTGGTACAAGTTGAAGCATTATCAGAAACCACTAAACCACAAACCAAATAAACTCTTTTGGATGATGATTTTTTTTTCTTCTTTAAAAACAAAAAAAAAACTCACAACAACACTTGCATTTTGCATGTGAAAACAAGATGACGAAATTAAATCCATAATTTTAGTCCCCCATATTCCACTTCACTGGCAAACCACTAAAAAAAAAGGTCTTGTTGTCCCCTTTAATTTGAGAGAAAATATGAGGTTGTGATGCATGTAGTTCTGAATATTTCATAGATTTTCCACTTCTCGGCTGTATCCGCTTTTCCGTGGAATTGCCCATTCATCGGACCGCTTTCAATATTCCGTTTCACTTACCACGATGTAAATAACTTAGCATGCAGTGTACATAACGGCTCGCTAATTTTGACCTGGAAATCGGACAGACCCGAAGTATACAGCGAAGGTAAATGTCGCACTGGATTGTGGGACAGGTTCCACTTTATACTGCATGGATTTTCTAGAAGTGCAAATTGTCCCACAGTGCAGCGCAATATATACCTAGACTGCATATACTTCTGGTCTATCGGTATCAGCAGTAGTCTGTCTCCTTCCCAGGTCCTCTGACGGGAGTTTTAAATGCATGGTTTGGTCCACGCATTGTGGTCGTGGCCAGTGGTATGGCGGTAGGAACCGCCATGGTCGTCTCTTCTTTTACAACTGATGTTCTCCAGATGACGTTAATCCTTGCCCTAGTCGCTGGTAAACTCAAGATTTTATTCAGTTCTTGTCACTTCATCCTTTTATCACCAGTTCACTTTAATTAACCGTATCTATTACTCATCCATGATTAGGTTTATCACTTGTTTGGAATACTGATCCCTTTGCCTTTGAGAAAGATTCTGCCAAGATGAAAATGTTTGGACCCCTCACAATCCATATTTTTTTACTCCAAGGAAGCGAAATAATCAAGTTAAAACCAGTTCAATTGATACAGCTAAGTCAATGATAATTATACATACTTAACACAAGAAAGTTTTAAAGTTTTGGAACAAAAATGTTACAGGAACACACCACCTTGGTGTGGGGAAAAAATGAGTCTTTTGTTTACATTAATGTCCATCCCTTTCTTCTTTTTATATAAAACCATTCTTTCCCAGGACCTGGTTTAGGTATTTCCTTGATTCTAACGAGGACCTTGGTTGGTATGCATTTCACTGACAACTACGCGACGGCCAGTGGTATTGGGAGTTCTGGTCATGCCGTTGGTCTGGTTCTTATTGCACCCTTCACACAATTGCTGCTGGATACGTACGGGTGGAGAGGCGCCATGCTCCTTCTCGGAGGGTTGTCCATGCATCTTGCGCCGTGCGGTGCTTTATTGCGAACTCCGCCAAGAGAGACGGATTCGTACGAAACACTTCCCGCTTCGGAACACGATCAGCTTGTTAGTCAAGCACACAGCGCAGACAAGAAGACCGCGTGCTGTAAGCGTAAGGATGACATCTTGGCTCGATTCGGATGCTCCGTTTGTCTGCGCGTCGCTTATTGGCGAGCGGCCATTGTTCTCATCTGTTTCCGCTTCGTGCCAGCTCTCTGGGTGGTGTATTTTGTCTCGCACGCCCAGGCTAAGGGTTTTTCAGCGTATGACGCGGTGATGTTCACTACAGCCGCCGGAGCGGGTAGCTTCGTGTGCAAGATCGCGTCGGGTCTCGTGGTAGACCGAGGCCTCATGAGCCTACGATGGGCTATGTCGTTATGCATCGTGGTTGCGTCATCCACTCTGATCTGCATTAGCTGGACCAACTCCTACTGGTCGATGATGGTCAATGCCTTCTGCCATTACGGCGCCAATGGAGCCGTGGGGTCATTCTGCGATATTTACACCAAGGAATTGCTTGGAGTCGAACACCTTGGCTCTGCTATGAGTTGGATGGAGCTGATGGCGGCCGTATTACTAATGGCTTTTGGATTCTTTCCAGGTAAGACAAAAGAAAATTAATAGAGAATGCAGCTTCAAACCCAGCGAATAATCAAGTAATGACATCTCGGAGTTGCAGCAGTTTAATCCAGAGGGGTGACAGCTGCGTCCAAATTACCTGGCTACGACCGGTACTTGTAGCCTACAATTAAGCGCCTAGTGGAGGCACCTGAAGCCATCTTCCATAGACCTTCGTGTTATTGCAAAACTAGACGCAGCCATTGGTACAGTAAACCTCCATGATGACTTCTGTATACACTGCCCCCCCCCCAAAAAAAAGAAATGGTCAAATTTTGCCCACCCTTTTTTACCCAACGTTGGTACAATAGTCAACATCCAAATATTTCGAGCGAAAAACGCCCAGCGGCCGTTGGGCAAACACGTTTACCTAAACCTTGGAAAATATTACAGACGGAACAGTCGGATACTTTTAATCATCCATTAGTTTGGTACATGTAAAGAATCAATTGTTGGTAAGCCATTACCCCAAAAAATGGTCAATAAAGTGACAAGTTGTTGGTTCGTATTTTGTCAATTATTGGTTACTAAGAAGAGTCCAATGTTGGGTACTGTGAACATTGTATCAATTAGTGGCAGTGAAATTGCCCAACAAATGCCGAAATGAAGTTTCCCAGCTTTCATTTACCCAGCATTTTTTTTTTTGCATTGTATGGAAAAGGTCTTTTGAAACATTTAAAACCCTTTACCTTTCTTTTTAGGTTGGATATACGACCAGACCAGAAGCTTCGACTTAGCTTTTGTTATCATGGGAGGTATACAGGCTCTGCCGTTGGTGTCGCTGTTTATGGAGTGGGTCATGATGAGACGTCAACAGAGGGCGTGATTTGCTCCTTGACCGGTATCGCCTTGACGAAACTTGAGGCAAAGTAGTCTTGTATTGTGTTTACCATCTACCCTACGCATTCAAGAACGTTAGAATCCATTCAACTAGCTGACGTTTGCGTGTGCACCGTCTGATCCTGTCCAGAAATGCAAAGGGCTTATACGACAAAGGTGTAAACGAATCCTAACATTGTCCGGTTGTTGGGACTTTACAGAGCATGCAGGGAGAGTAAACATATGATATATAGGAAAAGGTATCCCATAGCTAATTACTGGCCGTAAAGGGGGATGTTAGAGGTTCACTGTTTCAATGGGCGCGGCATATTAGTGGCGGTGCCCATCTCCTCTCCTCTCGCCGTCTTACCTTCCCTGAACGAATCAGGTACCCATTTTATCACTTTTGGGTCGTCAGAGAGAGTTTTCCAGTTGTTGGTCCGAATGGGATTCAAACCGCCAACCTTCCACTCCGTAGCTCCACGCTCTAACCGCTCGGTTACGAGGCCTCAACATATATATGAACATACAAACATTCCGAGGACGGTAACACAAAGATACAACAACAAATCCTTTGTTGTCCTCGAACGTAAACCTTTTGTTGGAACTGGTTCTCAAATGTAAGTGTGTGTGCTTAGTCTACGGGAGAGTGTTATTATCATAGCAACAAAGGGAAACACAACGCCTTGTCCTCGGACATAATGGTAAAAAAGGACTATGTGCATATCCGGGTTTCATTTGTATACACAGCCACTTTCTACCATTACATTAAAATTGTATCCCCTTCTAAAAGGAGGATGTCTAGGGCTACTTGGTCAAATGGGACATGTGTCATCTCGTTTGTTATTTGGTATTGTGGTAAAATTTCGTAAAGACCTATTTACTTAATAATCATGTCAACGTTGCCTTAGGCCTATGCGGTCATTGTAAGATCCCGGATCAGTAGTCTGGTCAGAATCGGGTTCATATAACTGACAATAAATTCCAGGACAAAAAGCGATAAAAGTGCTTAATCTTCTTTGTTACTTCAGACTTTTGCATTGCATGAGGGATAAAACGAAAATCTCAGTGTGAACACTATCATCGTGTTTTGCTCGTTGTTCACTTAATTTGCAGGAATATTAACATGGGTATAATACAATTCTGCACTGAAGTTATGACAACGGTAGATTTGACGGAGCCTCTATTCGTCGTTGGAGCTTATGCAACATATGCTAATCATATCATAAAATGGCTTTTATGTTTTTTTGTCTTTTGCATGGGCATAATAAAATTCTGCACTGAGTTAACGACAGAAAAGTTTGTGGCTGCACGCTATAGAAATATTAATTTTCAGCATTCAGATATGAGAGAATACGGAGCTCTGGAGGTGCCATCCAAAATGTTGAGATGCTGAGATAACTTTTCACGGGATGACGACATCCCACAGGTAAGATGCCAACGTCCTGAGATGTTTTATCACGGGATGATGACATCGTACAAATAGGATGTCGCCATCCTCAGATAATGTATCGATGGATAACGACATCCCAAGGGTAGGATGTCGACAATCGGAGAAAATTCATCGCAGGTGACGACATCCTGAAAGTAGTGCTTTCTCAGGCTCCACTAAACAGCATTCGAAGATATCTCGGGATGTCGACATTTTACTTTCAGGATGTCGACATGATCATCCCTTGTTATATTGTGTCACAATATTGGGATCCTACTTTCAGCATTGTGCTACCCGTGATAGATTTATCCGACGATGTTGGCATCCCTCTAAAAACATGTCATTATCCCGTGATAAATTAACTCAGGATGTCGACATTTTTCGTATAAGATGTTGTCATCCCGTGATACATTATGTCAGGATCTCAACATCTAGTCATGGCACCTCTGGAGTTCCGTACCGTAGGGATTAATTTGTGATGAACTTTATTTCATTGCTTTCATTTGTACTCGCAAGTTCCTAAAATGAAGAGTTTGCTTCGCTTTGCATTTAATATGGCCGACACGTGAATAAAGTCTATACATCGCCCTGAGCTGGAGGTTCCAAGGGTTCCATAGCAGTGTCCACACTTTTCGGTAGCTATTTCCATGTTTTACGGCTGCTCAGCACAGAAGTTTGTAAAGCAATGTCCTTAGCGAAACACGTTTACTAGCTAAAATGTCACGTGATAGCATGTATTGCTGCTGTTGTCGATGAAACATACATGAAAATTACTAGGGTGTAAACGTTTGGATCGGACAAGATCCGGGGCCATTGTCAAACAGCATGCTAAGCAGACAGATATCCCCAGCAAAGAACATTTTTGCGTCGTGTCTATTTTCTTGTGACTGGTCCCAACCTGAATGCTACTAGGCAATATTATTAGCTTAGCTGCTACATGAAATTTAGAGGTCTGCAGTTGTGTCGTGGTAACGAAAAACTATAGCAGCCATCTTGCTGAAATGTTATCCAACAATACTCATCTTCCTGAACAATGATGTATCTCGGAGGCTCTCAGAAAATAATGTTAGTATGATAATCATCTACATAAGATTTAAACCACGTTCGCGTATTACACTCCAGACTACACGCGCAGGCACAACGAACGGGTTTTCCTGGATGACAGTTGATACAGTTTTGGCTACCATAATTATGGAACGCCAAATATAGCAAAGACGAAGTCAATATACTTTTATGGCGATGTGAGTCATTGACTGTGTAAAGGGTCGGTCTACAGTTCTGGAGCCAATTTTACACGTATTTGTATTGGACCACAACGCCACTAGTTGGTCAAAGATGTGAAATTTGAAACTGGTTTCTTCGAGTGATCCGTAGTTCCGCAGCGCAATTTTGTGCTAGACGAATTTGTCAATGGTTTAACCTTTCTCTGCCGGCCGGCATCTTTGGAAATATAGTCTTGGTGTTTTTGATTCTGCCAAAAAGTGACACAAGGCCGTCAAAATGGCTAAGGCTGGTGCTCGCCAGGGCTGGTGCGCAGTCCTTTGTCTGCACATGACGTGGTTGTTCAGCACGGGTCTCATCAAGGGTTTAGGGGTGATGTTGCCGTCCCTCGTCGAGCAGTTCTCAGCCCCGACGTGGGTTATTGGCTGGATGGTGACCATCGTCAGTGGTGTTGCCTGCTTCACAGGTATATACTCTTTGTTTCACTAAGTCTCTTTTATTTTCAGATTCCTCGCTCGAAGCGCATTCGTGTTGGCCTGGTTATGATATCAAAATGTCTCCGTGCATAATTTGAGCGTGCCCCTTGTCACATTTTGTGTGTTAACCGTGACAACATTCTTAATAGTTGTACATTTCCCTGAAATAGGAAAAGAGCCAATATACAAAACAAAACATTTTTATCGGTAACTCGCCTTAACAAAAAAAAAGGACATGGCAAAACTTTAAAGCTCATTTTTCATTAAAGTGTTCAAGTTGGAACTAGGACTTTACAAAATATCAACTACAATGAATATATGAAATCTGCTCAAAATCGTAAAGTTTAATAGCTGCAGGACATGGAACAAAACAGTACTGATTTTTAACTAAACCATATTTTTTGACATATTCTTGAAATTTAACCTTCTAAAACGTGTTTTAACAACCAAACAGATACGTTACCACTATTTTATTCATAGAAAAGTTGTCTTTGAAACAAAAACTGGGAAGGCTTAAGTCAATATGAATTTCGGAGCTATTGTGAAAGACAGACTAAAAATAGAGGGATTTAAGTGACAGTATTTGACAGGTACATTGGAAAACATCGTGTTTTTTCTAGATAATGAAAACAAGGCACATAAATTGTCTGTCTCGATTTGCTATGCACATAATTTCAGTTGCTACATCTATCACTTTGCATGTTGCAATTTCGCATTTATTTGCTATAAACTAACAATTAGTCATTATCATTTCCATGAACAGGTAATTATACAAATATTTCCCATGAGATTGAGATAGTGAGATCCACAATGCCAGGCTGCTTTGGTAACATCTGGCAAATCAGATTTATAATTAAAAGACCATATACGGGATGACGCAGTAAGCAGCACTTACACAAAACTTTATAACAGCTGCTGTAATCAATCTTATTATAATGATGTTATTGAAAACGCCACGCGCTTCATACACGAAAGTTGTTGTCAAAATATAAAAATGTGTACACCCTGTAAACGAACAAAGTCAGAACCCGACATTTAAAAAACAATCAATAAAGTCGAGTTTGCATTGTTTCAAACAGCAGAAAAGATCCCAATTTCGTCACTCTACGTTTATAATGTGCATTTTATGAACACATGGAATAAAAGAAAGGCGATATTTAACAAATGTTTTTATTTTTGAGGGAAAATAATTACTTGAAGTTAAGTCTTCTAAACGTCGTGTAACGATTTACCAGATACGTTACCACTTCAATAAATTCACGTCTTTAAATACGATTCTGTAGATATTTTAAGTAGATGTGAATTTCATTGGTACGCATTGTGTCAGACAGACTGAAATAAAAGGTTTCGTTGATTCTGTTTGTCAATAAAAAACATCATTAATCGTTAAAAAAAACCAAAGAATTACTTAAGTATATATAATTCAAGGACCATAAGGCAGGGCGGATCCAGGATTTTTTGCAGGGGGGTCGGCCTTTCAGATATTATTTTTGTATCCCAATGTTGCGATTTTTTTTGGGGGGGGGTCAGAGCATGATGGGGGGGATCGAGACCGTGGGTTTGGATCCGCGCCTGCGTTTAGAATATCATCTTGTTCTATTATTAAGGTTATAATTTGTTATTTTATTTTATTTCATTTTTTGGGGGTCAGAGCAGGGAAATATAAATTATACGGAATAATCATGTGACGTTTTGTTTGCGTGATATGTTTTGCGCATGCATATCACAATTAATGACTTTACTAAAATGCAACTCGTGCATCCCCTGGCAAACAATCCTGATCAACTATGACCAAATGATTTAAAATTGAATTCAGGCACACAGGATGGAGGTCAGAATTTCCTTTTCCCAAGTGTGTTGAGCTGCCCCACCTCCCACCCCTAAGTTCACCTCAATCAACCCACCTACACTACCACCCGAACCCTCGAAACCATCATTTAAGTGTCCCTGTTGCTTAGAGATAATGTCTGAACAATACATTTAATTGTATCATCTTAGTTACGCTCGCAAATTAAAGATTGATATTTGAACAGATACGTTACCGAGCTGATCAGATACGTTACTAGGCTGATCAGATACGTTACCATAATATACTAAGATATTCTATGTAAACCAACAACGATGGTTTCATGTTATCAAGTTTTTGTGCAATTACAACCCCTCACTTCCTAAAATCTTTATCTACAGATTCTACAAGTTACATATTTTACCATTAAAAAAAACATTGTATGATGCTACTCTAAACTTTAAGAATATTCGACAGAAATTCAGCACAACATTACAATCCCTCTCGGCAAGCTTGTGCTCTAGTGAATCACAATTAAATGTGTAACGAAACTTTAAAACGTGTAGACAGTGTGGGAATCGATGACGTAGCCCATGTTTGTTGACGTCAGCATAACATTTGCATGATGAATTCATAATCAGTAACGTATCTGGCCCGCTCACGTTGAAATAGGCTTCCCTTGACAAACTGTGTGACCTTAACTACTTCTTCCGCCACTTGATCAGTCATCACCCAACACACTGTTGACTGGTATGGTGTTTGAGGTCAGCTTCCTTCACGTGTCTCGAAAGGAAAGGCAAAAATAGGTAACGTATCTTGCGCTACACATACACACATGGAATTTTTTTCGTTGACAGTTCTAAAAAAAATTCAACGCGCATATTCCTGAAATTTTAAGTCTGTTTATCGTTACGAGAAAATAGTAACGTATCTGGTTATGAAATTGGCGACATGCGCTCTGAAGGCGCTCAAGTAAAATTAATGAGCCAATCTTTTTCGATTTGTCATTGTATATTTAGGGCATACTATGGACTAATAATATAAAAGGGTAATCATTGATATGCACACATGGAAGACAAATGGGAGACTTTAAAAAAAAAGGCATCTTGGATGGCGACATGAGAAAACCGCAACAAATACCACCTTACTCGTCACAATTTCAAAGATTTTCTTGATTTTGTTACCTTCTTACTACGTGGGTTTATGAAACAAAACTTAGTCTCGAAGAAAACTAATATAAATCATTATCGAACACACTCCATACTTCTTAGAAACACAAGCGACACAAAAATGGCACATTTGAACACTTTAGCGGAGAATGGCCCTTAAGTACCTTGCATTTGAATATTTCCTCATACTGCGCACTGTTGTAAGAATCTTTTCAGTGCCCTTACATCGCTAGGGTATAACCCGGATTATGCTACCATAACAATTATTTAAAAAATAATCAATCATGAAATCTCCAGAGGGATTTGTTTCGGTGATTCATGTTACAGTACCTCGCGTTACAAATTGTCCGCTTCTCTCTGGTACACGTTGAAGCATTATCAGAAACCACTAAACCACAAACCAAATAAACTCTTTTGGAATGATGATTTTTTTCTCTTCTTTAAAAACAAAAAAACCCTCACAATAACACTTGCATTTTGCATGTGAAAACAAGATGACGAAATAAAATCTATAATTTTAGTCCCCCATATTCCACTTCACTGGCACACCACTCAAATAAAAAGGTCTTGTTGTCCCCTTTAATTTGAGAGAAAATATGAGGTTGTGATGCATGTAGTTCTGAATATTTCATAGATTTTCCACTTCTCGGCTGTGTCCGCTTTTCCGTGGAATTGCCCATTCATCGGACCGCTTTCAATATTCGGTTTCACTTACCACGATGTAAATAACTTAGCATGCAGTGTACATAACGGCTCGCTAATTTTGACCTGGAAATCAGACACCCGAAGTATACAGCGAAGGTAAATATCGCACTGGATTGTGGGACAGGTTCCACTTTATACTGGATTTTCTAGAAGTGCAAATTGTCCCACAGTGCAGCGCAATATATACCTAGACTGCATATACTTCTGGTCTTTCGGTATTAGCAGTAGTCTGTCTTCTCCCAAGGTCCTCTGACGGGAGTTTTAAATGCATGGTTTGGTCCACGCATTGTGGTCGTGGCCAGTGGTATGGCGGCAGGAACCGCCATGGTCGTCTCTTCTTTTACAACTGATGTTCTCCAGATGACGTTAATCCTTGCCCTAGTTGCTGGTAAACTCAAGATTTTATTCAGTTCTTGTCACTTCATCCTTTCATCGCCAGTTCACTTTAATTAACCGTATCCATTACTCGTCCATGATTAAGTTTATTACTTGTTTGGAATACTGCTCCCTTTGCCTTTGAGAAAGATTCTGCCAAGATGAAAATGTTTGGACCTCTCACAATCCATATTTTTTACTTCAAGGAAGCGAAATAATCCGAACATTAAAACCAGTTCAGTTGATACAGCTAAGACAAGGATAATTATACATACTTAACACAAGAAAGTTTTAAAGTTTTGGAACAAAAATGTTACAGGAACACACCACATTGGTGTGGGGAAAAATGAGTCTTTTGTTTACGTTGATGTCCATCCTTTTCTTCTTTTATATAAAACCATTCTTTCCCAGGACCTGGTTTAGGTATTTCCTTGATTCTAACGAGAACCTTGGTTGGTATGCATTTCACTGACAACTACGCGACGGCCAATGGTATCGGGAGTTCTGGTCATGCCGTTGGTCTGGTTCTTATTGCACCCTTCACACAATTGCTGCTGGATACGTACGGGTGGAGAGGCGCCATGCTCCTTCTCGGAGGGTTGTCCATGCATCTTGCGCCGTGCGGTGCTTTATTGCGAACTCCGCCAAGAGAGACGCATTCGTACGAAGCACTTCCCGCTTCGGAACACGATCAGCGTGTTAGTCAAGCACACAGCGCAGACAAGAAGACCGCGTGCTGTAAGCGTAAGGATGACATCTTGGCTCGATTCGGATGCTCCGTTTGTCTGCGCATCGCTTATTGGCGAGCGGCCATTGTTCTCATCTGTTTCCGCTTCGTGCCAGCTCTCTGGGTGGTGTATTTTGTCTCGCACGCCCAGGCTAAGGGTTTTTCAGCGTATGACGCGGTAATGTTCACTACAGCCGCCGGAGCGGGTAGCTTCGTGTGCAAGATCGCGTCGGGTCTCGTGGTAGACCGAGGCCTCATGAGCCTACGATGGGCTATGTCGTTATGCATCGTGGTTGCGTCATCCACTCTGATCTGCATTAGCTGGACCAACTCCTACTGGTCGATGATGGTCAGTGCCTTCTGCCATTATGGCGCCAATGGAGCCGTGGGGTCATTCTGCGATATTTACACCAAGGAATTGCTTGGAGTCGAACACCTTGGCTCTGCTATGAGTTGGATGGAGCTGATGGCGGCCGTATTACAATTGGCTTTTGGATTCTTTCCAGGTAAGACAAAAGAAAATTAATTGAGAATGCAGCTTCAAACCCAGCGAATAATCAAGTAATGACATCTCGGAGTTGCAGCAGTTTAATCCAGAGGGGTGACGGCTGCGTCCAAATAACCTGGCTACGACCGGTACTTGTAGCCTACAATTAAGCGCCTAGTGGAGGCACCTGAAGCCATCTTCCATAGACCTTCGTGTTATTGCAAAACTAGACGCAGCCAACGGTACAGTAAACCTCCATGATGACTTCTGTATACACTGCCAAAAAAAAAGAAGAAATGGTCAAATTGTGCCCACACTATTTTTACCCAACGTTGGTACAATAGTCAACATCCAAATATTTCGAGCGAAAAACGCCCAGCGGCCGTTGGGCAAACACGTCTACCTAAAACTTGGAAAATATTACAGACGGAACAGTCGGATACTTTTAATCATCCATTAGTTTGGTACATGTAAAGAATCAATTGTTGGTAAGCCATTACCCCAAAAAATGGTCAATAAAGAGACAAGTTGTTGGTTCGTATTTTGTCAATTATTGGTCACTAAGAAGAGTCTAATGTTGGGTACTGTGAAAATTGTATCAATTAGTGGCAGTGAAATTGCTCAACAAATGCCGAAATGAAGTTTCCCAGCTTTCATTTACCCAGCATTTTTTTTTGCATTGTATGGAAAAGGTCTTCTGAAACATTTAAAACCCTTTACCTTTCTTTTTAGGTTGGATATACGACCAGACCAGAAGCTTCGACTTAGCCTTTGTTATCATGGGAGGTATACAGGCTCTGCCGTTGGTGTCGCTGTTTATGGAGTGGGTCATGAAGAGACGTCAACAGAGGGCGTGATTTGCTCCTTGACCGGTATTGCCTTGACGAAACTTGAGGCAAAGTAGTCTTGTGGTGCCTACCCTACGCTAAAATCCATTCAACTAGCTGACGTTTGCGTGTGCACCATCTGCTTCCTGTCCAGAAATGCAAAGGGCCTACGACAAAGGTGTAAACGAATCCTAACATTGTCCGGTTGTTGGGACCTTACAGAGCATGCAGGGAGAGTAAACATAATGATATAATGATATAAAGGTAAAGGTAGGCCTATAGCCAATTACTGGCCGTATGGGGGATGTTATAGGTCCACTGTTTCAATGGGTGCGGCATATGAGTGGCGGTGCCCATCTCCTCTCCTCTCGCCGTCTTACCTTCCCTGAACGAATCAGGTACCCATTTTATCACTTTTGGGTCGTCAGAGAGTTTTCCAGTTGTTGGTCCGAATGGGATTAGAACCGCCAACCTTCCACTCCGTAGCTCCACGCTCTAACCGCTCGGCTACGAGGCCTCAACATAATATATGAACATACAAACATTCCGAGGACGGTAACACAAACAGACAACAACAAATCCTTTGTTGTCCTCGAACGTAAACCTTTTGTTGGAACTGGTTCTCAAATGTAAGTGTGTGTGTGCTTATAGTCTACGGGAGAGTGTTATTATCATAGCAACAAAGGGAAACACAACGCATTGTCCTCGGACATAATGGTAAAAAAGGACTATGTGCATATCCGGGTTTCATTTGTATACACAGCCACTTTCTACCATTACATTAAAATTGTATTCCCTTCTAAAAGGAGGATGTCTAGGGCCACTTGGTCAAATGGGACATGTGTCATCTCGTTTGTTATTTGGTATTGTGGTTAAATTTCGTAAAGACCTATTTACTTAATAATCATGTCAACCGTTGCCATAGACCTATGCGGTCATTGTAAGATCCTGGATCAGTAGTCTGGTCAGAATCGGGTTCATATAACTGACAATAAATTCCAGGACAGAAAGCGATAAAAGTGCTTAATCTTCTTTATTACTTCAGACTTTTGCATTGCATGAGGGATAAAACGAAAATCTCAGTGTGAACACTATCATCGTGTTTTGCTCGTTGTTCACTTAATTTGCAGGAATATTAATTTCTTATAAGATGGATTTTTTTGCGCCGGGGTGATATAAACTGAGTATTCAGTGTTTAAACGTCGGTGAAGGGCAAAACCTAATTTGATTTATATTAATTCTGTAGTTGTGTATACTAATTTGTCAACATTATTTTCTTTTTTCCCCTATTAATTTAAGTTACAGGTATACGATGAATTGCATTGCAATATACAGGGTGAGTCAAATGGCAGGACCATTTTCTTAATAAAGTTCTGCATGTAGCACTTTCAAAATCAAGGATATGCAAGCCCAATTAATATTTTTTTTTTTTGTACAAAAATCATTCAAATCACTTATGTACTTTTCAAGTTACGGAATTTTGAACACACCCACCGTTGTAAAGTTCTGTCCATGGGTCACACAAAAAAGGGGGTGTGTTCTTTCAGCAAAACGAATACAGTTCGCACACAACCCTATGTTGTCCTGTCATTTGGGTTTCCTTTTTTCAGTTGACTCACAGTTTGAAAGCTGGTGGTCCTTGCTCCATGGTGTAGACGGATTTTAAATATGCATTGGAATGGAATCGAGGCTCTCAATGCTAAGCCATAGGATTGAGGACCTTTTCTTTTGTAATCCTCTCAACAAAAGACAGCACTGAGGACCTCGGTTTCAGTGCCAATTTAAATTTAAAAGCACAAAATCATATTTTTGTGACTGTTGGTCCGCCATGTTGGATTTATTTAAATTCGACTGGGCGTTTGTAATTAAGTTTGACGTTTGGAACCACTGCCGCGCGTATGCCGTGCTAACGTAGCGTTAAATTCAATTTATAAGCACAACGTCTGAAACATGCCTAAACTTCCCCAGTAGCAATACATATGTATGTTAGCCTATAATCATTCTTTCGCTTGATTAACTGCATTTTGGTATTTACAAATTTTTATATTATTGTAATTTATTGCCCACAGATGGGCCTAAAATCGATTTTGTGATTTTACCAACAGTCGGGTGGGTCAGGACAATATGATATTATGACATGCACGTGTATTCTTTCTTTTTTTGTAAAAAGAAATACACCCAAATTAGAAGATCGATTCTAAAAAAAAAACAATTCACTGCGAAAAATTTAAAATATAGAATATAGAATTATATGCAAATGTGGTCTCATCGAGACAGATTGTAATTTACAACAATTTAAACTAAATTCGAGAAAAATCAAACAATTGTTCACAGTCATTGTCTTTGTAGGTGGGGGGGGGGGATCTGAGATAATGTCCTTATGAAGTTGATGTTTCGAAATGTATTGGATGAAGTTGACAGTTTTTGGGCAGATGAGCGGTGTAACTCAACAAAGAGGGACATGATATTTAATGTTATTGCAAAACTACTTCACCTTAATTAAAATTTCTGATTGGAAAAATTGTATTTTTTTTTTATAATAAAGCTTGAATGAGGAGAGCTGACGAGATATTAAACAAATCTATAATATGATTCTTGAAAAGGAAATCGATGAAGCATACAGGGTGACCCCCAAAAAATGCACCTTTGAAACATTTCCTTTTTGTTCAAAAACGTGATCCGTGAATGTTATTTTTTTGGATATCAGATTAAAGCTGAAGATTTGCTCTTTTAAATACTGAAAGAATCATGAAAACAGCACATTGGGTTGCTGAGAAAATTCCAATTATGTAAAAAAAAAAAAAAAGATTTTTTTTTCAGCGTTTCCAATAGTGCTTCAAACAGCTTTCATTTGTGCAATTTCTTAAATATTTTGACATATTTATGATGCTGAAAAGGTTTAACAATTGGACTAAATAGGATAAGATACCTGTTCAGGTGGAAAATAAAAAGGTATTTCCATCAAATTCATTTGAACTCTTGTCAATGTGCCGTGTTGTTTTGTAATGATTAGGACACAATGCGCTACATGCATTTCATGCACAAATAGGTATGTGTAAATCCCTTAACTGTGGTAATGCCGTTGGAAAGGGAGTTGAGTTCCATAATTGGCATTTCTCAGCAACCCAATGTGCTGTTCTCATGATTTTTTTCCAGTATTTGAAAGGAAAAACTCTCAGCTTTAACCCAATAATAAATCACAGATCACGTTTTTGAAAAAAGGCAAATGTTTCAGGGTTGCATTTTGTTGGTCACCATGTATAGGCGATACATGTGGACCTTGCGGCGGCATATCATCGGATAGCCGCAGCGAGATCGAATTCAGTCACGAATTAAATGGTTAGTGACACTACTACAAAATAATAAGCCGCGTATGTTTGAAAAAAAAGTTGAAGTACATATAAAAGACCTTATTCACGGGAAGCCATTTTGGATGTGTTCTCCTAAATCTATTTTATAAATTGTAAACTGTTGAATGGATGGTGTCAGACTATTTTACAATTGGAGTGTGCGTTCCAAACCTCACTTTCATTGTTTTTTTTTATGCGGCTTAAGACATTAGGATATGTTTAATCACAAATTTTAAACTAGAGGCTCGCGTTTTTGAGTTTCTAACGCAGAGTGGTCGGGCAGTCAACTATTTCATTAAACAAGCCCAGTTAAGTTATGAATATGTTTCTGCGATAACAAAGATTCGCAAACTTAAACCTTTCCAGTACAACCAATTATTTTGTACAAAAAAAAATCATCTGTAAGGGGATGATAAATTTCAGGATACATTTTAGGTACACGTACAAGTTATTTACGGTTTGATGACGTCATCAGTCAAAAAACGGAAGGAAATACTGATTTAGTTCAAGGAGGATCCCGTTTAACATAAAGTAAAATTCAGGCATGGAAATATGGAAATTTTATTTAGAGTTTATGAAACATTATTATGCTAATGTTCAGATTAAATTGCCTTTATGTTTTGTTTTGGTCTTTAGCATGGGTATTATAAAGTTCTGCACTGAAGTTATGACAACCGTACGGTAGATTTGACGGAGCCTCTAACGTCGTTGGAGCTTATACAACATATGCTAATCATATCATAAAATGGCTTTTATGGTTTTTTGTCTTTTGCATGGGCATAATAAAATTCTGCACTGAGTTTACGACAGAAAAGTTTGTGGCTGCACGTTATAGAAATATTAATTTTCAGCATTCAGATATGAGAGAATACGGAGCTCTGGAGGTGCCCTCCAAAATGTTGAGATGCTGAGATAACTTTTCACGGGATGACGACATCCCACACGTAAGATGCCAACGTCCTGAGATGTTTTATCACGGGATGATGACATCGTACAAATAGTTTGTCGACATCCTCAGATAATGTATCGAGGGATAACGACATCCCAAGGGTAGGATGTCGACAATCGGAGAAAATTCATCACGGGTGACAACCAACCTCGTACCCAGGGTGTCGAGCAGTACGCGCCCATCACTACCTGCTCTCTCACCCTGGTATTGGATCATTTGCATGTGCAAGATTTTTGAACACGTATGCAAATGAGGAACAGTCTGGTGCCTGCATGTGCGTTACATTAGCGTTTGTTTTTGTATGCGGTGTCTGGGGTAAAAAACAGAGTCAATTCGAAGCAGCGCGAGCATGGCGTGAGTTACGAAACACGATTTGTATTTAATTAAACTGTTACGATCTTAACGAAACAATATGCAGTATCACATTTCATATTAATATTAACAAATTGGAAAGGAAATTGATATTTTCGAGAAAGCGTGGACGAATGATCGCGAAAACACGTACTGCACGTTGTGAATAACAACACCAAGTACACGATAAAAATCCATTACTAGCCAATTGCGGTATCGAATCAGGATACAGGAAGAAAGTTTCCTATCCAGGGTTTACTATTGGAAACCGTGTTGGAAATAAAGTAAGCACTGGGGACGAGGTTGGGGTGACAACATCCTGAAAGTAGGATTGCTTTCTCAGGCTCCACTAAACAGCATTCGAAGGTATCTCGGGATGTCAACATTCTACTTTCAGGATGTCGTCATCCCGTGATATATTGTGTCACGATGTCAGGATCCTACTTTAGCATTGTGATGCCCGTGATAGATTTATCCGAGGATGTTGGCATCCCTCTAAAAACGTGTCATCATCCCGTGATAAATTATCTCAGGATGTCGACATTTTTCGTGTAAGATGTTGTCATCCCGTGATATGATACATTATGTCAGGATCTCA